ACACATACTTTAGGCGATATATCATTATTGGCGAAGAAATAACGTTCGTTATAAAGTGCCAGTATCAGCGTTAATTCCCGTGCAAATATCTTAGCTTTGGAAATTAATGATTTCTGTATAATTAATTTATACTTCATAATACTTGATAAAAATCTCGATTGCTCCATTAAACTCTCCTATTTAATGGAAAATTTTAATGGATCAATAGATAATCTATAGTCGTGCGAAATGTGGAAAAAAAAAATGTTTTCATCCCATCATCCGAACGATCCACGTACAATTATAACCGTATTACTAATTGTTATCCCTATGTTTTTGCTTCGTCATTCAACTGCGGTGTGAAACACTCACTCCATTCGTTCCGCAGCAATTTTCAATCAACTCCCAAAAATACCAAGGGCTCGCCGTAAAAAGAATGCTATCTATCATTTGCCGCGTTTCAAATAAGATCTAATTTTTTAAGATCTAACTTTGCCGCACGACTCTTTATCGTGGCAATAAATTTTTAATATTAAGTTTGGGAGAAACTCGCGACTGAAAATGGAAAAAGTGCGGAGAAATAATCACTGTCTCCTCTATATGTATAAGTAAATGCACCCCACGTGGCAATTGTTCTTCCTTTCCCCATTCCGATTCACCTCTCCCCTCCCCCTCTCTGTCTGTCGCTCTCTCTCACCCCCCCTCTCTCTCTCTCTCTCTCTCTCTGTCGCCCCTCACCAAACCAACGGAACCCCATAATGTCAGACATGTACATATGCGTCGGCTCTCAATCGGATTTTTTGAAGAGGGATAAGTTGCGGGGAATCAGAGCTCTACCCTTAAGCCGTGGAAAAATCGATAACTGATAATTGGCCGCTCGAATAATCAAGTGACTCTCATTCGATGGATGACGTTGGCCTAAAAAGACCTGTCGGAGAAAATTCAGAGCGCCTGAAATTTCATCTCCGGGGAAAGGCCATGTAACAAACGATGACGCCAGGATGCTATATATATGTGTGTATCTATATCTATATATATATATATATGTGTGTGTGTGTGTGTTTCTATATCTATATATATATATATATATATATATGTGTGTGTGTGTGTGTGTGTGTGTGTGTGTGTGTGTGTGTGTGTGTGTGTATATTTATATATATAGATATGCGAAGGAAGGTTGCTGCCGTAGTCGCGCCGAAAGTGCAAAGTGGAAGAATTAAATCGTATTTCAACGTCAGTGGCTCTGCCGTCGCTATTACCACGACGACGGCCTCAACGGCTGGCCCCACTCGAGAGGGCTTTGGGAATACTCAGTCATGAGCGAAAATCCGAACTCCCGCGCGTAGCACTCCTGGAACGCAATTTAACTTTTAGTCGTTCGCGAGAAATCCACCTCTTCCCAGTCTACCCATCCTCGTCCTCCTCTCCCTTCTACTCTCGCTCTGCATAAGCTTCTCTTTCCATCCTCGGAAATTCTTACACCCGTTAGATCGATTGATGCTACGCTCCTCTCACCTCCCCAGCTCATTCCCGTCCTTTCCGTCACTCGCTACTTCCTCGCACTATGCTTAATATACAATCATGCACGGTGATGGGCCCCAGGTGGTTAGGATCTCCCCTTCCCGGGAACATCACTCGCCCTTCACCGCGAATTATAATTCGATCCTACCCACACTACGTTATTGCTACTCTGGGGCTAGAAGCTGACTTGTTTAACCGGGACGATCGTTTGCCTCTGTGCGTGCGTGAATTATTTTCGTGTTGAGCAAACGATCCATCCCTTCGCCCAATTAAACCAAAGATGTAGAATGTTATTCGATTCATCCTCATCTTGCCTGACCTTCGTCCCCTTTCTCGCCACATCCAGTATTCTCTCTCTCTCTCTCTCACTCTCTCTCTCTCTCTCCTGCTAACTCTCTCCTTCCAACACACACTTTTGTGTATTTTTAAAATACTCGCATTCACTTTTAAATCTCATTCAACATTTCCTTAGTATATTTTTCATTTCTAATAATCCGCTTACCTCTCTTTATCGATGAAATGTAATATTTCAATGTTTAATTAAACCGCCAATTACATTAATTTATTCTATACCATCATTGATATAGATAAAATGCACACCCATATCCTTAAATATCCCTAATAACTTCGTCCTAATTTCGTAACTCAACTTCATAATATTTCTATTTTAACGAGACTTTTTTCGCTACATTTGCTCTCCCACTGCGCTTCTTCACCATCTGCAACGTTTCTCAGACTTACTGCTGGGCACTCGTTGCCAACTGCTGAAAATCCAAGCTAAGAGTCTCTTCCCACTGATATCCCATGAAAAACTGAAATGTAAAAGAGAGATAGAAGGATAGATGAAGCGACGGCTCGCGGGACGAAGGCACGAGAGGAAGGAAATAATCGATACAGGTCGATTGTACAAAGCAATTACTATTCTAAGAGGTCAACTTTAACGATATGGACTTGCGCGCGCAGCCAATAGGTCGGCCGTTTCCGTTGGCCGAGCGCACGCTTACGCTGGCACTTCCGGTAACGCTGCACTTAATGACGCATGGCACGGCAATCGCCCGAGCGCTTCACAAATTTTACGAATTATATAAATCGATGTATCATTCCTCTTTACTAACAGCATCCTTCACAGTCTCGTTTTGCATACTCATAATCTCGCTTGGCTTGGTCATCTCTCCTTGGGGCTTTACGATTCCCCACCATTTTATTCTCTTTTGCTAAACTTTTTCCTTCTATCTCTGTCTTGACACACTCGCTCTCTCCCGTCTTTCCAGCCACATTCTTTTTTACACTATTATTAATTTGCTCTTTTCCTCCTCCCCTTATTCTCCAATGAGAATCTCTTTTTTTATGAGATCCTATTACATCGTCCCAAAAATTTTACCGATTTTTCGCGTCATTTCGCAACGGTGCACGTGTTACAGCCATTGCAATCCCCTCCCCAGCGATGCCACCGACACATCGGTACAATATTCTTAATATACCGTGAACTTTTTAACGTGTCGTACAATTATTACATGATGTATCGTGTAGAGTAGAGAAGTATTTTATACAATTTTGCTTTATCAACTATTTATAATAACTCTAACGATTACGTAAACAATATTCGTCATTGCATTTGATCAATTATTATGAAATATAGTGGGTCATTGCATTTGTTTATCGCTTTGTACTTTGTAAGCTTTTGTAAACTAAATTTAATGTTTAACAATATTTATCACATCTGTTGTTCTAGTTTGACTCAATAAAAAAAGAAAAGAAAAAAAAAATAGAAAAAAGAAAAGAAAATAAAAGAAAAAAAAAGAAGTAATAACAAATAAACTGACATCAATTTTAAATGAGATCGAGCACTTTTATATCTTTATATCTATTTTATACTTGCACTATTTCATTTATGAAATTGTGTTGTATTTCTCTTTATTTACATAGGATATATGTATTTAACATTATGTGCAGGCAAATATATATGGGATAGTAAAGCTGAAATCTATAGAAATTGATGAAACTTCATTGTTGTCGTTTAGTGCTACCAATATTTCATAATTAAAACATATCATCAAACAGAGATGCATAAGTTTAATGGCTCAGGTAACTATTAAAATCAGGTGCAGGTTGCGATGCTTCATATGGTTAACAGTTTTTCCATCAAGTGTATTCCATAAGTTTTCAAATTTTGCGAAGAATAATCTCTCGAAAGTAATATCTTGATCGTATCGATTAATACAATAATATTACAAAATTGCAATATTTTATGATGATAAATTCGAATGTCATAAATAATGGTTTTATTTATATAAAGCAATTAGATGAACATTCTGAAAGAAATTATCGATATAATGCAGAAGTGCAAAAGAATTTTACTTCCCATCGTATGCAGAAGAAAAATGATTCCTGTACATCCTGTACTATTATATAATCTTACAATGGAAATATTTTACTTGCTTTCTCAGTTATGCGTCACAGCGTTACAGCTCGGAGCAATTTTATTCGAACAGAAAAGAAAATAAATAGAATAATTAATTACTCATTAGTGATTGGTAATGACTAATAATAATCAAGCATCGTACGTAATTATAAATATATTTATAATATAATACACTATAGTATAAATTCGTTTGAATAGACTAGCTAGTTATCGGGATAAGTGTACAAGGAACCAAGTTTTTCATACAACAAGTGATAATAAAATGATAAAAATAAGCAGTTCCTCTCATTCGACACCAAACGAAGCAAAGGAATCTCGTATATTTAATTATACAAAGCGCACATGCGAGATTCCAGATAGATGAAGCTCCTCCACCTTCTGTCCACTTAAAGCGAAAAATATATTGATCAATGTGAGACGTAAGACGAGGGCAAAGAATCTAAATAGCCGAATCCTTGAAGACTTCGCCGTTTTCTCGTATATTAAGCAAGTCATTTGCCTCGAGTGCGTAAATCAAATTTGAATTATTTGGCCGAACTCTTTTCTCTACACGCCGTAACGTATAATCTGAAATATTCCTGGACGTTGACAAAGGTAGGGATCGAATTATTACACGGCAATTTGTCTCCGCTACCATCGACGACAGTCGCAAATGATAAATAATATTCGACTGCCTGAATATTTTAATTCGAAGGTCCTCTGCAATGTGAGAATAAGGACTAAGACGGAAAATTGAAGCAATATTTATATGAAATGACAATATTTAGCGTATGTTCCTGCATTAATGGTATTGATTGATAAATTTCTTGCAATAAGTGCCTCTTACTCCTTAGTTCTTAGTGTCCTCTCCGGGCATTCATAGTAGCAGGGCTCTTATCGTGAAATTTCACCGTAAGAATTTGCTTTTTAATAAATGGTCCGAGGGAGTAGGTTTGCACGAGGGCAGAAGAGAATCATGTTTTCAAGCTTTATCGAATCCATCAGCCAAATGTATACGAGTGCACCCTAAGTTTTTGCGACGAGCTCATAAAGGCAAAAAGCAAGGCTCCTCCTGATAAATGTGCATTTCGTGTTGCAGATTTGACATGCGTAACGGGCGGCAATTTAATGACGCGCTTCGCTGGTCTTCGCCACGGGCGCTGGGACGCAGGGCTTACTTCATCACGGCGACGAAGCCCGCTCACTTGAGTATCAACGAGCTCAAGCTTAAGGACGAGGGGCTTTACAGGTGTCGAGTGGACTTTGTCAACTCGCCGACGACAAATCAGAAGATAAATTTGACTGTGATTGGTGAGTGCGCGCCAGCGTGCGGGGCCCCCCTTCTTCAAAAATCCATTCGTCAAGCAAAATGAGCTTGTTTCGTAATTCGAGATCTCGGCTCGTTAATTAGCGATTGGACGCGCGATTCCGGAAAATCGAGCGCCAATGCTTCCCCGTCATCTCATTTGGGCGGGTCGGCCAGACTGTGGGATGGAGCGCGCGCGCGCGTATGTGTCACGTAAGCTCGTGAGGGAGGGCTCGTTTTCGGGGAAGTGATTTTTATTCCGTAATACCGAGGTCGATAATGGAAAGTACGTCCTATCGGTTATTAAATGCACGTTGGAAAGAGCTATGTTTTGGATTTTTAAGGACGCGTTCGTTTAATGCGTTTAATGAGTTAGGTTGTATTGTGCGAGTAATTCTCTCGTGGGAATTACCCTCAGCCTCGGCCTCGAACGCTGAGTTTTCGGAAGGGAAGTCGGTGGGAGAATTATTATATGAATTTTCATAAATCCGTCGCTCATCGAGCGCGGCGAGAAAAATAATTTCACTTTAGCATTACATCGCATCGTATCTCTAACGGAACATTCAATTTATGTAAATCA